GTAGTATAACATTTTTCCTGTTGATGTTATATTTGCTTAAAATACAAAGCATAATATTGATAGTCACAATGGTGCCTCGATATTTTTGTGCCCGACTGTACGTATGAAGTCCTATGCATACTACAGTTTAACCTTCGAACGTTCGATCAAACAGACAAATAATTTCGAATTAGGGTTTCCCGAGAAAAGGGCTTCTACATATAATTGAACTAATTCCAAATTCAACGTCTAGTTTTGTAACAGTTTATATTACATATTAAATCTTTGAAATGTTTAAATGACTCTGCTTAACACGTATTTAGATTACTTATTTTCAACAAATGTTTTTTTGTAAATTTTTATACACTGAATTAGAAAATTTCTAGCTTTAATTCTCGAGAAACTTTATATAAAAAAAAGTGCAAATTTTATTGTTTACAATATAGGTGAAAACAGTTCCACCGAATACTTAAAACTAATGCATTATGTTCAAAATAATATTTTTTAACTTTACATTTACAATATCTATTGATATTTTAAAAGAAAATTTTGAGATCTTGTATAATTTAGAATGAAAAATTATCAATCGACAAATTATTATCAATGTTTGATATGAACGATAAAAATAAGATAAAGAACAATAAAATAAAAGTTAAGTATCAACGTCAAGGTGTCAACACTATCAGCGATCATATTTTTATTTAATCCTAAAATATACGTATGTTTTTTACAAACGCATTTTTAAACGAAAATTTCTAGTGTTTGGTAATAAATTGATTTTTAAATTTCAAATAGAATTTTGAAGAATGTATGTTGACTAATTGAAAATTCTTCTGTTGAAAAAGCATATTAATTTGAATATGTGAAAGTGTAAAAAATATGAAACAATTAAAGAAGATGCAATATAATTATTTTTCTGTTAAGATGTTCAAACATACCTTAAAAACTTATTCGTAAAATTCATTAATGTTTCGACATTGGGACACCATAAACTCATAATATTAGTATTTATAGTTCCGGATCAAGGAGGGTGTAATGGAGGCTACAGCCTCGGGGCCAATTTTCAAGGAAAGTTCTAAGGTTCTTAGCCTTTACAATATCAAAAAATTCCAAACTTTGGAATCCACTATGATTTTGCAAATTTTTTGCTATTGCAAAAATAAATCCACTTGTTTTAAACTTTCCGAATCATTAAATTATTAAAATATGTATCTTTTCGATGTTTGCCCTACAATATTATTTGACAAAGGTACAAGGTCGTGGTTTCAAAAAAGGTATTTATTTGGAGAGATAAATGGACGAATATTAGCCAAAAAGGAAAAAAAGGCTGAATTACCTGGGGTCGTCTCATACCCCACAGTGCCAGCTAAGGGTTAATACAGTCGCACCTTTATAAACGTGTAAACCCCTATAAATATTATTTAAGATCAATACAGGTGAGAATACAGACAATTTAATGGTATCGATGATGTTTAAAATGATTTATAAAACAACATGAATATATATCAAATAATTCAACAATGTAATTTACTTTTTTGCATTGTTTATGACTCGTTGTTGAGTTTGCTACTCATGTAATACGCAACATCTCCTTACGATAACGATGTATTTCTTCAGTCGTATGAAGAAGAATCATTTCAATTAGTGAATCATTGAATAGCAAGTACCATCTAACAAGAATGCATTTTTCTTTTTTGCTTTTCTGACTACACCTAGCATATTATGTAACTATTTATGCTCAAATTACTTAATAAAACGTGAAGTGTGGTGATTCTAGAAAAGAATCATTCTTTTTTATTAAACTGTCACAAAACACGAATTAGGGTTTATTGGTGTAACAATGAATGATATCCTCATTTTAAAACTCCAAGATCCGAAAACTTCATAATTTTAAAACTTCAAAATTCTAGAAGTTCAAAATGAAATTTTAGATTACTAAAATTCAAAAATTTCTGAATTACAAAATTTTTATGAGACCCACTCTACCTCCCAAACATTCTAATCACGCCAATAATGTCAAACTAATGATAAGGTACATTTTTTCCGATGACACGCTACACAATCATATTGCATCACGTACAGCAAACAACCGATGATACTTCCTGCTTGATCCAGCTGTTAGAAAGTGGAAAAATTGTCAGTTTACCACTAGGCTGCTGGTAGTTACAAAATTGAGAATATGTTACATGAAACACATACATATCTTACGACATATGAGGGCTAAGTTTCTGAAAATCTGTCAAATCGGATTTAGTTGAAATTTTGCAGATATCTTCATATTACGTAAAAACAATAGTTGCGAGAAGGATTTTTGGTGACTCGAAAAATAAACCCCAAAATCGACATAGTTTTATTGCTGATTACAATTGTAAACAAAGAATATATTATTCTTCTGTTGCCTAAAAAGCTGCGAAGTTCCACGAGCGAATAAAATTTTTTCAATTTTTTTGTGTTTCGTTTTTTTAATAAAACTTCAAATACTAGTGTATTTGTAAGATTTTTCCAATTAAAATAGACCAAACACGATATATTTTGAATCATATTTACTTAATTATTTATTCGCATTATGTTTTAAGTAAATAAGTAAATAAAATGCAAATTATATTGTATTTGGTCTTATTTTAATCAGAAGAATCTCACAATTACATTGATAAAAGTTTTACTTAGCAAAAATAAAAAAGTTTTATTGTTGAAATAATATTGTCTCGCGCACATGTTTTTCTGGGTTCCTTTAATTCTCGAACCTCTTTCTCTTTCGCTCTTTTGCAATTTCTACATTCGGCAACATTCAAAGGCTCGACTTGAATCGTTTCTTATTGTAATAAGAACCGAAAAAACGTTTCCGTTCCATAAATTGTCGTGTTGTTACGCAAGCATCACACGTTTTCGTTACATCACCATAAGACGTTTTAACGAAACCCAAAATCGAAGGGGTCGAGCGTAATAACATATTCTATGTTGAAAAATTATGTTTTAGGTTCCTACCTTACTCTGGCGTAAAAACAATTTTCCGATATGATTTTCCGTTTTCTTTGTTTCTAACAGCGAGTTATGAACATCTTTATTAAACAAGTATATTGACGGGATGCTTTTGTATTTTGTTCGTAGTATACTATACTGCGAAAGCAGATTAAGAAAATCTTTTTTATTTATGAGCTATTTATAGAAATATCGATAATATATAATGTCTTTTATTTATAGTAATGAATAAAGAACGTATTTAAAACAAAAACAAAACGAGTATGTTAAATACCACAAGAAAAGTTTCAATACTTATAAAGTCGAATAAAAAAAAATAATGGAGAAAAGAACATTATTCTTGTTCTACGTAAGACTTTTTACAAATTTCCAGTGTGTGTATTAAACAAACTGGTTTCATACATTAAAAGTACAAAAATATGCATTTATAAATTCCTTTCCAAAAAAAGACTGAAATAAATAAAATTAAAGTCTGCTTTTTATTGTTCATGTAAAATTTTATATACAGGAAACGTTTGACCTTTTGTTAAACAGCTATTTGAAAGTACAGTTTATTTTATATATTATTTTATTGTGAAATCGTGCTTTTGTTCACACTCTATCTATTACAATTCCATGAAACACGATAAGACGACATCGATATCTGCACGAAAGGACAGTGACATAGGTGACTTTTTCTTTTCCCTGTGCTTGCCGCAATAGGATACGATTGACAGAAAGCACAACGTGTTACGCGATTTCCTTACAGTTGCCTGTTTACTTCTGCAAAATTTATTTCGCCAACGAGGCCGGTGAAAGCAATTCCCACAGTTTCGAACTGATTTACCATATTCAACTTTTCCTTAACCTAATGTCGCGTCGCATTGGGTGCAATGTATGAAGTTCACACTATTCAGCGTGATACATATATAAGAATGGTTAAAAAATACTTATAAACAAGGGCTACTAATAATAATTGTTGGAGGTTGAAATGAAAAAAGAAGAAGAGAAATAAAATAGATCGAAGTAGCTGGACAATCTTGCCTTGTGTAAAATCGCACTTACAAGGAGAACTACCCAAGTGTTACACTCACTTATTAATGAAACTTTGTCAGCTTGTAGAGCTCGTCAAGCTGAACACGCCTATAACCCCTTTTGGGGGCAGACGGCTAATTGTTTAAAAGATATTAACAATTACAGTTAGTCACTCCTTACATTCTGTAGTATGACAAACTCATACATACAATTCGCAATCTAGAGATCCACGGTTCAAATCCTTGGTTCCCAACATTTTTTTTTAAATGATAATTTGTCTCTTTTTGAATAACTATTACATAAAAATTACCAGTATAAAAAAAAAAAAACAAAAAACATCGATAACCCAGGATTTGAACCGAGGGCTTTTAGATTACGAGTCATATGTTTAACCACGGAGCAGATCCGTGACTAGCAATTTAGATGTCCTCGGTTCAAATCCTTAATTCACAAAAAAATGTTTTTTTTTTAGGATAATTTTTATGTAATAGTTATTCAAAAAGAGACAAATTATCATTAAAAAAAGAAAAAAATGTTGGGAATCAAGGATTTGAATAGTGGATCTCTAGATTGCGAGCTGTATGTGTGAGTCTGTCATACTTCTCAATGTAAGTAGTAACTAACTTTAATTATTAATATCTTTTAAACAATTAGTCGTCTGCCCACAAAACGAGGTATAGGCGTGTTCAGCTCGACGAGCTCTACAAGCTGGCAAAGTTTCATTAATAAGTGAGTGTAACACTTGGGTAGTTCCCCTTGTTAGTTTATTCATATTATGTAGTCATTAATTTATAATATTAGAATTTTTATAAAATTACAAACGACCATGAGGCTCTATCGAATACAAACTCATCTAGAGAAGTCGATCTACGATACGAAACTGATCGTGCAAGGATACAAATACTTATGTATATGCAATAAGAAATAATTCTACAAATTACAATAAAAGTCGTTAGGAATGAAAAAATGCAAAATATTTTTTTAAGAGACCTGTGGGGTGTGCAGGATGCGAAATAATTTTCACTATCTTAACCTTTACACACCTTTATTGTACACAAAACTTGCGTTATTACAATCGGTGAGATTTGACTCGTTCGCATCAAGCCTAGAGGGGTGCGCGCGCGTGCCGAAACCTAGCCGTCTTCCTTTGTTCTAAACGGCGCTACATGCGGTGTATCATTATGTCATAAAACTCATCGATCGATAATACACATCGATAGTGCAGGAACCAACAGGACCAATCGGGAGACATCCTACAAAATGCAAAAGGTGTCGTTCCGATAGTCTATCCATCTCGGAGTAATCGGGGGAAAAAAAACTGATCGAATTGAGTAACCTCCTTCTTTTTTTCGAAGTCGGTTAAAAATATTATAAAAGGGAACTAAAAGAAGAATCAACTTTACTTTAATTGCGCAATGTAGTTGGCTTTGTTTGTCCGGGAGTTCGATCCAATGGACAGGCGTTTTGGAGCTTTAATTTCCTGGTCCTGTATGAGTATTTGATTATATTCGTCCACCTCCCGGTGGTCAGTTTTCCTTTTTGGCAATAGATTTATTGCATCAATCGAAATCGCACACAAATTGCACTTCAACCTATCGAATAGGTTCACTTCATCGAGTTGAATATTTTTTTCGTACCTATCATGAAAAGTGACCGAGGTAGTTTAATTAATCGTTAGGCGAAATACTCTGTAAAATATTTTCGATTTCTGGAAACCAATGGGTTACAATGTAGTACATGATACCTATCATTAGAAGACGCCTTCGCGTGGTCGATCATTGCTACCTGAAGAAGCGTTAGCCGGTAGCTCGAATGTAAGGGTTGCGACGATGACGGAATGACAATACGCTATATACCTCCATTAGACAAGCTGTATCGTTCCCCGACACGTGCGAAAAAATGAAACGTTTATTGCACAAGTTTTCTGTATTGAATTCGGTAAAGGTGAAAGTGTGAAATGTTCAGGTCGTAAAATAAAGACAGCGAATTTTTTTATCGGCACCGTTAAGTTCCGTTTTTGTTTCTTTTCATCAACGATGTCGTCGACGAGGCTTACGTACCACGATCCGAAGTACATAGTTAGACAATGGCGAGAGAAATTACGGTGCTGAATGTCGTGGGAAACTCAATATGCCGTTGGCTCATTGTCAGAAGCAGGCTTCGTAATTGGCAAAGCGGTACGCTTGAAATCTTGGCTACATTTTGCACTGAATGCCTAAATGCGTACAGTGAATCCTACAAGTATAATACATACAAAATACAAATATTCGTACCTTCAGTGGCAGCTCGTAGCTAAAATTAGTGGGGGTGCTGCTCCAGAAAATTTTTAGCCTTTGTTTTAAAAAACCGGCACTGCGGGACCGACAGTGCTCTTTCTCCCGCGCAGCCACGCGCGCAGCTTCCTATGTGCGCATGCGCACACAGCCAAACACCACGCCGCGCCGCTGGAACTGTGAAGCGCATAGTTCCATACAAAGATTTTTGTATCTTTTTTATAAACTGGGAGATGGCTACTGACATTAAGCTTAAGGATTATATATTGTACAAGTATAAAGAAAGAATTAAAGAAAAAAGGACTCATTATATTAAATATTATCGATAATATCAAGTGGAAATAGGGGGTGCTGCAGTTCCTCAGTGCTTATAAGCGAGCCGCCACTGCGTACCTTCCCAATTAATAATTGGACGTTGCATGATATTTGCTTAAAAGAAATGTAATGAGGTACTGATTAATAAGGGTTATGTACTGAAATTATACAGGAAGGATCAAGGGAAAAAAGTTGTAGATAAATGTGCATAAAAGATCACACAACTCTTTATTGTTACCTCCTCCTTTTTAATTAGATGTACAATACATATAATATCGATACACATTTAGATCCCCCCTTAATTCGGTCTTGACTTATGACTACACTAATCCCACTGTCAGAATGTAGAACAAAATTATTGTTAACACCCTGAATCGATAACTACTTTCTAGCATGGAAGCTTAAGAAATGAATGAATGTCTAGGATAAACTTCTATGGAAAAGAGTTTTAAAACATTGGATTGTAAAATAATTATCTATTACCTAATGTCATTGTAACAAACATAGCTATTTTGATGTATTGGGGCAGTCAACGTCGTCGGCGTAACTAAGATTTTTGTCTGGGGTGGATCAGATCCCATAGCTTCGTTAACAGTGTTAAGAGTTTAATACCTTGTATTTCGCAAACTTTTATGAGAAAAATTGTAGAACCTTAGATTTTTAGAATTTTAGAATTTTAGAGCTGGGAGCGACCCGTTCTCTATCGGGGGGGGGGTCTAGCCTAGTCACTACGCCAATGGTCAACGTGTTAATAAATCACTGCACGGAAGTTAAAACTGTCACTATTATAATACCATCAACGAATAATGTCATTATCATTACTGCTAATAACCAACCACATAGGTGATGCAACATTGTACAATGATTGAGACAAGACATGAAAATAATATAGTTTGTCCGTTAATTATCTTATTGTTCGTAAGAATAGATTTTACCTTGCTTTGTTTTCATCTTTAGGTCTCACTGAAGTGTTCGCGTAACCTTTCTTTTTTCTTTTATTATGATCACAGGTACAAGTCGTCAAGGTTCTTGTACTCGTACGGTTATTTTACGATCAACTAATTTAAAATTGGATAAAGCTCAATTTCAGGGGAGTAGTGCCAATTAATTCGCTCTAAAAATAGTGCAGTAATTAGCGCTTAAAAATAACTTAATACTAAACATAGTACAACTGAAACTTGTTAAAGGCCAGCATCGTGTTAATTAAATCAAAGATATATTCTATTAATCATATATTTTATCTCGTAGTTCATACAACTAACACTGTGTGTTCTAGGTTGGAGATTTGAATAAAAAAAAAACGAATTTTTTGCAAAATTTAAAATAATTACATATTAACAATATCTATGCTTTAATTAAAAAATTTCTTCATTTCTGAGAAAAGAAAAACTTTTGATACATGTATAAAAGTCTCTATTTTGAAATAATAATAAAATTTGTAATGGTCCAATTTATCAAATGGCTTTTAAGAAAAAATGCACAGTTTGATGTATATGTATAAGTGAAGGACTTTGAAATCTTTGAAACGCCTTCACTTTCAGATCTGACACATGCATTAGATGACGCTTCATTCGATACCATTTTATGTTGCCTAATTAAACCTTTCCCAAATTTTTACTATTTCAGAAATATAAGTTGATCAAGTTACATAGATTATACCTATTTACAATTGACAAGTTCTATCCCTTGTATCGTACTGGTGGTGGCATAAATCAGGTTTCCCCGGGGAAAATAGCGAACATAGTGTACATAGAGGAAGTACTAATTCTCAAAATCCTAATTTTGACGATATTAATATTAAAGTTATCTAGAAACAAAATAGTGTTAAATATTACAAAATTTAATACATAACTGAGAAATATGAATAATAAATAAATATAAATTGAAATTTGCAAGTGATGTAGGACCACAAACCTATATACATAATGTAAATGAAATTTCAGTAAATAAAGTAATTTTATTTTAACAAATTAAAGTATAAAGTAAAATTATCTTATGTGCTACAATTTTGTTTCTTATTTGTAATACTATTTTATTTGAATTTTATAGCATCTAATATTTTAAATAGCATTTCAGATATTTTTGCTCTAAATTGTATTCAGGTCTGTGCGAAAATTTTCTTCATAACGAGTTTTCATATTTTAAAATTGATCATTTTTTTTTGTAGCTACTATCAGTAGTGATTAAATAGAGATTTTGGTGAAAAACAACTGACACAATAGAAATAGGGTCTCATTTCATTACATAAAGATTTTTACCTTCATAATATCATTAAATTTAGTCATAAACTTTTTGAATAACGCATACAAAATTTCTTGCTAGATATTTTGTAAATTTCCTTGAAATAAATATTCCAAGAAATAGCTACGAAATATGCCGCAAGGACTTAAAGAAATTATACAATTTAAAATGATATCATTAGATACTAAAATAGTAAATGAATAGATTTTTCTTATTCTTATTTCTAAAAATGTATAATTTTTGTTTTAAAACTATAAGTACGAATAATTATTACGCGTGAATTTTTTTCGCTAATTTCTAAAAATTTATTAATATTTTCATATAAAATATAAATAAATAATTTGTGTTTAATAAAATTTGCTTCAGAAACTTTTAGAAATATGTATATAGTTCTTTGTCAATATATGTTTTTGTAATAAACACAGTTTTATAAAGTGTTTGTTCAAATTGATAACAGTACGGATACTTTTTACATTAACTGTACATATAAACATTCACACGGAAAAACAACGCTGATATTACCCCACTATCTTTAAAAGACGCAACACGTTCTCGTAAGCATTATTTGCTTGCGATAAGTGTCAAGGTTGCAAGAATAATGAACTACAAGGCAGCACTCATTCAAGGTGTTTGTGTGTTCAAAATCGTGTGAAAAGGCGTCACAGCACCAAGGTAATGTAAAAAAAGGATACAGAAGAGAGAAGAGCTAACAGGAAATTGTCCGTACGGAATCTTTGCGGTATAGTAGTATTAATACGTAATAGGAAGGAATTGCAAATGAAGTTTTTAGAAATATGTTACGCAAAGTTTGAAGTCGATGATGATACATCGAAATTTCTATATATAAAATCCTAACTGACTCATTCTTTTAAGGATAATTATAATCAATGTCCACTCCAAATCTTTGGACTTAGAAAGTAGAAATTTGAGGAGAGACTTCTCC